TGAGGAAATAAGGTACTTCCCTCACTACTTTTCGATTGCCCTAAGTACATTCTTCACTAATAAATGAATAGACATGAAACTATTTTTTTCTGTAGGTGGATGACAAGAAAGTTAAAAATCCATCGTATTAATTTATGAACTACTTTATCTCTAGTACATAAGTATATTATAACGTCTCGAGGGTGTAGATGTAAATCAGCTTCAGTTGAATATTCCAGACTAGATAGAGATTGAATAAGTCGAACGATAAATTATAAATTACAACATCACTTTACATTTAGATCAATTCTCAAAATTGAAAATCGGAAAAAAGTGTCTCCATATCTTTTATCAAAAATTGTATGATCTTTCTCATTTGAACATAATGCATGATATTTTTAGATAGTAATATGACGTTTTTGTATTTCTTCTATCTTTGTGCTATTTATAAACTTTAAAATTAAATAAAATTTGATTCGAATTCATTTTCAACTATTCTAAGAATTACTATATATTAATATTCAACTGTTTTCATAGACATTAAATGAAAATTTGTCTTTATAGTAAAATAATATTCTTTTCTCAGATCATATTGGAAATTACTTGTATTCGCCCTTTTAACAGAAGAGCAGTACAAAAATTATTGCTAGTGTATATTATTTTTGTCTGGCCGTGATATCATCATTTGATGCGTTTGGCTCTTCTTCTAATAATGGTGAATTTCAATATACGTAATAGTATGTCATTCAAGATAAAAATTAGAATTTCGAAAAAAAACAGCCCTGATAGTTTTCGAATGTTTTTAATGTGATTCATTAACTTAATTTTTATATGATCTAAATCCAATATCAATGATCTAAGAAATTTAATTATTCCTATTTATCACAGATATTGTCCATCAATAAACAGATTTTTTTTTCTTGTTGATTGACAATGACTTCAATCTAAAACATATTCAGCTATAGTTATCTGTTTTATAATATTGTCATGAGAACTGAATTCAATGTATATGACATATATGACTAAACTGCAACCAAAAGATAATTAAGACGTAGTCTCTATTTTTTCTATGAATGAAGAAATACAGTGAATCCTACGTCAGTGCAGATAATGTATGATAGCTCATCTTTAAAAAAGTATTATCGTCATTTTTTTATTGACTCATTCAAGATTTGATATCTACAGAAACCGTTTATAGATTGATCAATGAACTAAATGATAGTAGGCAGTTCTATCAAGTTGGTTGTCATTTGCAAGTAGGATGTGAGTTTAGCTAAAAAAAAGATCAGAAATTATTTTCTTGCACTACATGTCACATCAATACGTGCAGATACGTTCCATTTATTGACTAAAGTGAAGTTTCTAGGAAAATTCTGGAATATACAACTTACAAAGTTTAAAGAGAGAGAAAATGAAAAGGGTTCTTCATGCAGAAGATGACAAGTACATTTGGAAATAAAAAGAAATGCTAAATAAAGATTCGTATCATTAAAAAAGTCAAACTTTATTTTATCTCTCCATGATATACCAAATTCTCATTTTTTCTTCCGAGAAACAGATTAAACAACGTATAACGGATACAATAATAAAAAATAATTCCGGTATTTTACTGGTTAATAGTGAACCTCATTCAATGATTCTAAAAGAAGTCATCAATAAAAGCTTGTTAGCGCAGCACCTTTGGTGCTGAAATGTGGAACTCACATATACTCTTCAGTTCCATGAAGCTTATACATATAAAGTGAAAAGCCTTCGATAGATTATAGTTGTTCTGCGCAATAATTCATGTGTAGAGCAATGATTTATAAAATTTATATATTTCGAAAAGATATTATAAATATTTTCTGTGGCGCCCTACTATTTTTTATTTTCATTATTACTACCTGCACATTATTTTTTTTTCATATTTTATTTTTCGTTTTTTGACTTTTTTTCTGGTCTTTGATTTCACCAACATTTATCACTGTTGTTAATGTAGAATGTATTTAACATCATAAATCGACTAACAAATATACATCTTGATTACTGTATATTAATAATAATGCTCAAAGTTAACTTAAACCTATTGTTTTTCTGAACTTTTATCTTTTTGCTGGTCACATGAGAACTATGGCAAATGAAACCATTGTTCATGATCACTATCATTATCATGAACTTGTACTTTCAAGTATTGAAATTTATACAAAACCTTAAAGATACTTCAGACTTCTTTAACATACTGGAGTGCTGTTTTTTTAATAATAAATTATCAAAGTTTATAATAATGCTTGTCTGTAATGGGACCCTGTCTGTAATGTAGGCCTGTTTGTAATAGAAAGCTCTGTTACTAAGTGCCTATATTGGCGCGAACCTTCTCTATGTATATATAATTGGAAGATACGTTGCTAAGTGTCTGTAATGGTACCATACGTTACTATGTGTCTGTAATGGGGAGGGGGGGGGGGGGGGGAGCCGGAAAACTCGCATTTAAAACTTACACTCACTATTTTCTTCGAAAACATATGTGAGTTCCACAAAATAACTTTATCAATAGAGTAATAGCTCGTGTAATCTATTAATGATGTGATCTAACTTATTGAATAAGCAAAAACAATATCGTTAAAATATGCATGCGAACGTCTGAAATATAAAGCATAAGCCTCGAAAAAGACACGAAATCTCGATATAATAGTAATTTTTCACAATTTATATTAAAAAAGTTTTTTTTCAATGAAAAAAAAACAATTTGTTTTTGTGTTTTTCAATTGTTTATTATGAACAACTAACTACAGTTCTATCCGAAAGAAATACAAATATCGATCATTATCAATAGTGTAGATTATAACAAATGTGCAACATATGCCACTAAAAATTAATTAAAATACAAGTTATAATTACGTTTTTGTTTTTAGAAAAACAACAAATTTTGTTTGTCACTTATATAAGAATCTTAATTTTCATTTCTTATTTTCCTAAATCGACAATGAACTATAGCATTCACGACTATAGGGAAATAAGAAACAAGATTTTCTATGCATATCCAATATAAAAAAGAACGAAATGTTATTTATTTTATTTATATATAAAAGTAACAAATAAGAGTTTAGATTTTTAGACATTTTTATCATTTTATACTTTAGACTATCATAAAACATATTTATGGTTGATTGCATTCACCAAAGATGTGAATGTGGTCATTACTAAGTTGAGACACATTCACACTTAATCTTATTTCTTTCTTAAAATGACATATTTTCACTTAAGTTACAATCAAATCGTATTAAAAATCAAGTTAAAAAGGAAATTGTCGATCGAGTCTTAATTCATAATTTGGTTTTTGAAGAAGTTTCTAAGATACAACCAGTAGATTATTAACAGCAAGCATTTCTTGTCCTGTGCAAACTTACGAAAATAAATAATTTTGATATTTTTCGACTAGTTTTTATTTTGATTCAATTTAATTTAAAGGAAAATAAAGAATTTTAAAATGTAATCTCCAATGTAAAAGGTTTTTTTTCTACATTCACATCACTTGCTTTATTGGCATAGTTATTTGTTCTAGGAATTGTACACAATATCAACACCAAATGCGTATTAGTCAATCAAATACTTTCATTACTATAAAAAAAACAGCTAATAATCATGAATTAGAATGTAAAACAATCATTTCTATTACGTATAAGGTTTTCAATATTGGTAGTATACAAAATCATCTTTAAAATGGCTAATTTGTTTATAATGAAACTGTGAAATGATTCAAGATGGCTTTTTCCGATAAAATCTATACAATAGATCAAATTACTATACGTATTTAGAATGGTTAAATTCTTTTGAATACTCTAGTTTTATGGAAAAGAATTTCTTTTCATAATAAGCAAACATTATTTTGCTATTAAAACTTTCTACTGATGAATTAATTAACTTAAACTGTATTTCAGTATCCTTCTTTTCTTCCTCATATGTTCACTAATCAGTATGAAGAATTTTTTACTTGTTGTACACATCAGTATCATACAAATGCCTTTTTTTCTATAAAAAAGTGTAAATAACTTACCAGAAATACTTCCACTGGATGATTTTGCAGCAACTTGCATGTTATTCATAGCTGATGCTAATGGTTCATCATCATCATTATCTTCAAGTTGAACTAAATTCACTAGATGTGAGCCATTCGATTGCGTTAAAACATCGCCTTTTACACGAAACTGCGAGCCAATTCGCAAAATAACTTCCTCTTCTCCTTCATATTCTGTATAACCAGAAATCTTTTTGCCATTAATAGCTTCAATTAAGAAAAGAGTGGCATTTTTACCGTTGCCAAGGAAATTTTGAATAACTTTGGGTGATAATGAACTTGAATTAACACTCCACCATGTCACAATTTGGTTTCTGGTGAAGTTCTTTCCAATATCAAGAGGTACACCCCTCCATAGTAATTCTTTAACAGTAGGTAATTTATCCAATGCTGTATCAAACAGTTTCAAATATGGAAACCATATCTTTAATGCTTGTCGATTTTCAGACCGTAAGGCTTTATTTAATACACGATATAAAGTAGTTTCGCCCCATTCCATGGTATAGATATAAATGGCAGCTGATTGATCACGTGATAATCCATGTTCTGACGGAAAATGACAGTTGCGTTTAGCTATCTTTACAAAACGTGGCAGTTCATCAATTTGAGGTTCAATAGGTTCTAATGCCTTTTCAATTGTAACAAGTTTCTCAGCATGAAAGCCATAAACAGGTGGCAATCTTTTAAATGAAGTATCAATATCACCGAAGCGATTCATCACGTCTAGCTTTTATTTTTTGCCGTGAAGTGTTGATACAGGTGCAGTTGTTACGAATTCGAATTGATAAAAATATTTTAGCAATGTTTTCCTTCAAAAATTATAAGAAAACATTATCAGTACTTTCTTTTTCATGCAACAATAGAAACATGTATCATTTATTTTTCCTAAGATTCTATTTATGATACTGACAAGTTGCAGTTAGGTCACTAGTTCATGCAGAGACTAGCTTTGTCTATTTTTAGAGAATTCAATATCTCAAAACATGAAAGCTAGTCTCGAGTTCACAATATTACTTTCAACTTAAACATTAAAGCAGTTGCATGTTTGATAGTTTATATTGGTGTGAGTTTTGCTCTGAGTCGAGGTCTAAGTACATGTCTATGGGTGCAGATATTCAAGTATCTTCGGTAGAACATTCGCAGGAAAACGCTACACTACATTTTCATCAACACCCTTACGATTATAGTCGTTCATAAGAAAATCGGCAGACACACTCAATATGTCTAATCCTTCCATATATATTTGACATGAGTGGGAATTGAACTAGTGAAGTAGGAATTACATTTTATACAAAAAATGGAGCATTTATTCTTGAATCAAGTGAATCAGAATTACATACGTTAGTTATTCTTGATTTGAATTGGAAAAATTAAATCAATATGAGAAGACTGTAATGATGTGATTTAGAACGAATTAGTAGAGAGTACTGTTTAATTAGTATAAGTGTGGGTGTGAGTGTTACAAAATTTTTGATTTGGTTTCAGATCTTTAAACAAAATACTAATTATGAAAGAGCACGCATTTTAATGCAGGCTTAGTGAATGAAAATATTAAATATCATATAGACACGTAGATATTTCTAATGACGGTAATTTGCAATTTTTATAACAAAAAAATAAATCATTTTTAACTGTTAGCTTACTGTAATCGGATTAAAGGTGAATTTTTACATTCTCGAACGTTTTATATTATTTTTATAGCGTATACATTCGTGTTTTTTCTTTATTAAGTCTGTTTGGCCAGATTCCTTCAATTTTTTAGGTATTTCTCTGTGTATGATTACAGTTGTGACAGTGTGACTTATTCTAGATACATATTTAGTTGATGAAAACCTCTAATCACTCAATGCTGATTATCAAGAAAAAGATTAAAATCCTTTACTTGCTATCCGTAAAGATCTCCCATGGCGTATAGTCAGACTAAAACCTGATGGTGTTAGAGCTCTTCAGAGAAACTTTTCTGGTTTTGCGCTACATTCCTAGATTGACATAATTGAACAAGCCATACACTTGTCCATTATTAGGTTAGTCCTCCTCTCTTCCGTCACCACTATATATAGTGATAAAGAGAAGAGAAAGATAAACACAAAAGAGAGCAAAATCATAAGGAAAGTATTTATGATAGATTTAATATGTAGTTGAAGACTTATCGATAGATAATTTTAACTGAACACTAAGATATGAGGTGATGTTACAGACATTTATAAATTATCCAAAACACGAATATAATGATGTAAAAACATTTTATGTTAGATCAATAATAATTATTATCACGCATTCATATGCTTCTCATTTGTTGAAATGCTTTCTAACAGGCATACTGAAGCACTCAAGGTTTCAACTGTAGATTACGCATAACTGAGTGTACGTCTGGAAAATAAATATCTGTCAATATAATGGTGTGTTTTGTAAGTCAAAGAACTTAACTATATTCAGACCAAATTAATGATGTTGTCCTCTAACCAAGAAATTCAAAATATTAGATGTCTGTAGCGAGGATACAGTCAGATGCTTGAATGTAAAAGTATTCGAAGCCACAAAATTTCATAATGTTGCATAGAGAATTATAGGATTTTTATCATTGGAATCGTTATCATCTTACGTCTAATGAAAAGTCTCGTTGAGATGAACACCTTTTCTGCCAACATCTGCTATTCTTTGACATTAACGTGAAAATCAAAAGTTAAGATAATGATAATATTTGTGTTCTTCAGTCAATTTATGCTTCAAGAACACTAAAACTTACATCAATGCCGACATCGTTTCTAACAACGATTTTCGATAAAGATATCTTATTTTTTATGAGATAAATACATAATTTACAAATTGCAATTAGAGAATGTATATTATATATTTGTATATTTATTTTTGATACTAAAATGACTTATAGGTGCTTCTCGCTACAAAAGTATGAAAAGATTGATTTGTATACCTAGTTCACATAATCGACTCAATTCGTCTAACTTCTTAACTGTTATCACTGTGAAAAAATCATTTTATCTCTGATATTTCTTCTCTCCACTGTGACTAATTGATTTATTTCATCATCCGTTTGTACATCAAAAGAAAGCGAACGAGTAACCTCTGCTTGTAACCCTATCATCCTAACTTGTTTATTGTTTTTCTTTTTACACGTTAAGTTTATACTGTTTCATTGTTTTTGTATCTCATCTCTTATATTACCTGCTGTTTTCCATGAATTTTATCAATATACGTAGCTTGGTCTTTTCTTAATATAATTAGAGAATAGCTATACTGTTGAAAGGTGTATATTCTGAGATAAATACTGAAGAAGTAGTGAAGCTAATTATTAAGTATGCTACTTTTTTTCTGGATTTCGTCATCTTGAATAGTAAACAAAATTACTTGTTAGCTTTTCTCTTCATACTGTTCCAAAATGAATGGGAAACCATTTTTGGTAGCTTTTTATTTTCAAATAGTTTGGAATGTATACTTTAATGATGAAACAGGGAGAGATTTTACATACTAGCAACACGCCGATGTTTTATAAATTTTATCTATTTTCATGTACTCATATTTTTCATTTTTATATTAAATAAATTCCTAGAGAACAAACAGAAACTTCCAAATTCGCATTATATTTCTCGAGTTCGGCTTCACACTTGAGATTCACATGCTTTTTGAAAAACGAAACCGAAAGATTTCATATAATTTCGATTTTTGAAGGTGGAGGTTAGATGTGGTAGTTTGCTTGAAATAAAAGTCTACGTTATGGATCACGAAAAGAATAATAAAAAAACTAGATAAATAAGAACTAGCACTAGATTAGCGCTCAAGTCAGAAATATTCATGAAAGTTTTGCTATTCTTTTGTGGTCTGGATGTAGCTGAGAATGACAGAATACGATAGACTAGAATGTTACACTACAGATCTTACGGCGATGAACAAGTCATATTGTGGACACACTCCAAATTACTTATGATAGATAAGAACAGTATCTTGAGAGATGGTCCTAGAATGATCGAGTGATACGATTATTGAAACAAAATTCTTAACCTTTTTCTCCGATTATATTAAAAAAGCTTCTAAATTGGTCACATCATTATAAGATAGGTGATTTTCTTCAAAAAAAATTTTATCTCTCTTCAATCTAATTCAATAAGTATGCTTTTCTGTTTTGTATATTTCCATCTGACGTAGAATTAAATAATAAGAAAAAGATACAGCGATATTCAAGAATACTTGCTTTCAATTTTGAATTTCAGTTTATAGTGTTTTTGTGATGGCTCAACAGATTTGTCAATAAACATATGAGAAGTATTACTGGTGTAGTATGGAAATAGAAAGAATCACAGATTCTATGTACAGACTTTCATTAGAAAAACCATACATTTTTATAACAACACATGATCTTAATCTTTCTAAGCTTAGTTCTGTACGCTTTCCTTAAATGTAACCTGTCTAAAACTGCTCAACATGACGAATAATGTCATCTTTAAAATATTTTGAACGCTTGAGTCTGTCATAATGAGCTAGTATTTCGAATTTAAAAACCGATTGTATGAGTTGATTCGCACAAAAAAAATAATCTAGATAATATAAATATTGCAATGAAATCCTACATTCAAAATTAGAAAACTCTCCAAATCAACGATAGGACTCATAGACTTTGCTTGAAAAATCTAACGGTTTTCCAATGGAAAATTCTTTCACAAAATTTCGAATCTATTATTAATGTGTCTTCGAGAAGGGATGTTTAGTCTGAAGAGGTTAATGAATATGATAGTCATTACCGAATGAGAAAAAAATGTTTTTAAATTAAATATAATGAAAATATCGATATTTTTCTCAACCTTCTTCACTGTATTTTATTAAATACTTTTTGAATCAATTTCATTAATATTTCCTATTTTTTGTACTTTTGTTATCTTCTAAATTATAATTATGATTTACTTTTAATCTTATGCGCAGCTTTCGGTATTCGAACTGACAAATCATATAAAACAGTATTTTCTTATCAAATTGTTAATAGTTGTCCATATGCATTAGAACTTTTCTTTATTTTTTAAGACTATGCCATGATTTTGCTTTAAGAAATATTAATAAACCTTCCAACAGATACACAGTTAACCCTAAGATTTTTCGTTGACCTGACAGAGAGATTCATGGATGCAGCATTTTTCGGGCGCTATGAATGTTGGTGATTATGGCTTATGATTTGTTTAATAACTGGAATAGATACAAAAGCAGAGGATAAAAAGAATTAGACTGCTTGTAATATATTCATGCTTGTTATTCTACATTGAAAATAGCTCTTTTTATGCATTTCGAATCCTTCTAATACTTTACTCACCACGGTCAAATAGTCAAAAGTGAAATATTTTAAATAACGACAATAGTAATCATGTGTTGGTATTGTCAGAATCTTTCGCGTCTTACACTGGCGTCTATTTTTTCTTCTACAAATTTATATGTTTACCTGAGTATCATATTCTTATCTACTGTTGCTGTTTGTCTTCGTCTCTTGGATTTTTCGTTGTATATGGTATTCTGATGAATAAAACACTTTATAAGAAGAACTACACATAGAAGCGATAAAGCTTTTACCGATAGATAAGACGACAAGTGGCGATAAACATGCAAAAGAAACTCATATTCGGGGGTGGGGGGTGGGTGTGTG